AACAATGGGGGCAGAAGGGGGTGTATAAAGTGAATTTCAGGAATTTCTCTGGAGCAGCGGTTCTCAACCTGTGGGTCGTGACCCCTCTGGGGGTCGAACAACCCTTTCACAGGGGTCGCCGGGTACTCGGGTACTCGTATGTGGGCGTATCTGCATGTGGGCCTGGAGACGGATAGAGGAGCGGTGTCTTGGTTCCTAAGACCATTGAAAATATGTGTTTTCCGATGGTCTTAGGCGACCCCTGTGAAAGGTTGAGAACCGCTGCCTAGAGGTAGGTCCTTGACCAAGGAAACCCCCAGTTATAAAGAAAGAAGCCACATTCCCCACTTTCAGCTTGCAGTTGGAGCCTGCATGGTGACATACATAGAACAGGGAGGTCCCAAGGAGGCCCACATGTGCTTGGCACAGGAACAGGTCCTACCGAAACAGTAGACACTGTGTGGATTCCAGACCTCTCACCCCATGCCAGAGCTACACCTCAGAAGCCCAAGAAGACCTGAGCTTTAACCTCCAACACAGGTGAGAAATACAACACTCCAAGACACTCCAGAGCCCAAATACTACATGTCTCTAGGAATAGTGTAATGTGTTACTAGGGAGAGATGCAGCCCAAAGCTCAGCATCTGCCCATGAGGCCAACAGCACTGGGGAGCAGCCAGGGAGAACAGGGCACAACTGCCATCTGTACCTGCCTTGGGCAAGGACAGCACCTACTTCTCAGGGCAGGCAGAACAAGGCCTTCCCCAGGTCCACAAATGAGCACCAAACTTCTCCATGCCACTATACAATGCATAGAAACTAAAGTGGGAGGACCCATGGAGAGGGGCCAGATACAGGCTATCTGTGGGCTGGAGGGCCTGAGCTCAAGTGGCTCTCCAGACCAGAAAAATGGCAGGTGAGATCTTAATTGAGTGAGTGGCTCTCTGGGTCACCATGGAAAATCATGGACAGTGTTGTCTTTCATTGTTGTCTTGGCAAAACCAGAATACCAGAAAACACTAGCACACACATTGTCTTTCCACCTCTAAGAGGCCTCTCTGGCTACCAGTCTTCAGCATCCCACTCTGCATCTCACCATGCAGGATAAAGGTCAGCCAAGAGAGAGAAAAGACAACTAACTACTATGGGAAAACAAGCCCAGAGTCAAGGACCTTAAGCCACTGGCCCACACTGAGGCAAGAGGGACCTGGCTGAACCAGACCAGTGGAGTCTCTTCTCCCCCATCTACTCTCAAAACCGTGGACAGATCCAAAGTGCTTATATACCGCTACTGCCCTCAGGATGAAGCCCATGCTTCTCTGATCTGGCCCCGTCTACCTCATGCTCTGTGTCCACATCTTTTTATGTACTGTTTCTTCTGCCTGGAGCATCTGCTTCTCACTTTGTCCACCTGGAACCTTCTAACTCATCCTTCCAGATTCAGTATCATTACTTCTTCTATAAGGCTTTGCCCAAACTCTCAAATATAGGAGAAAGCCCAAGCTCTGGGCCAACCCTAGATACAGTATACACCACGATTGGCCTTTTCTATTCCACTCTGTGAGTTCGAGTACAAAGGCCTATCTACCTCCTCTCTAAGATAGGCCTCATGCCTGTGCTCCTGAGGCCCAGGCCTAGGACTGAGACAGAGACAAAACAATGGGTGCCTCGTTGTGGTGTGTAGAATTAATGGATGAGTGCACTGCTGCCCTGCCAAAGGAAGTCAGCTGCAAGTGCCAGCAAAGGCAGGCTAGCTGTAGCCCGAGGCCCCTGCTCAGGGCCTGGGCACCAGCTGCAGAGGAGAGCCCCCCCAACACCATCCAGTGCTCTAGTCCAGGCTTGCTGTTCTTGGGTAGAGCCACCCATCACATGTCAGGAGGCTGCCGCTGCTGGGATGATGTTACAGTCTATTTTGAGGGTCACAGTGGAGCATCTGTCAGCCCGGCCAGCCACACCCTCCATGTGTCATCACCAACTGCCGGGGACACCCACAGGTCCTCGAACTCTGACTGAGCAAATCATTCCCCACAGGGACCCTTAGCTTCAGAGCCTCCTTGGCTTCTTCACAAGATCAACCCGATGCCCTTATCTCCTGGCACCACTGGCAGGGCTCTGATGTCTCCTCACCCCACCAGACCTGCTCCTGGGGTTCCTAGCTCTAGTGACTCGACAAAATGCAGCTGAATCCCATTAGTCTGTGCTAAGCTCTTAGCTCAAACCTAGTCCCTCCTTCTCCAGCTCTCTCTTCTATTTGGGGAGTGCCCAGAAAGCGTGACAACAAGCTAGTTACTGACTAGACTCAGTTTAGGTCCAACAGGTCTCACCTGCTGGGAAACTCCTACTCATTCCTCAAAACCATGCCCAGGCTCTGCTTCCTCTTAGAGAGCCTTTCAGTCTACTCTATACTGAGTAGGCCACAGGTTGCATGAAGACAAGGCTGGCCAGTGCTGACTTAACCTTTGTTCTCCCTGCACCTAGCATGGACCTCGCACATAATAGGTATGAATAAGCACTCTATGAACCCTTGAATAAAACCATTCTAATTAGATGAGCTTCGTGTGTTTTTCTACAAAAGGTATCATCATAACAAAGGCCTTTCTGGAAAACAATGACACTTACAACTGGGTACAAAAACAACTTTTACAAAAGAGGCCCATACTCACATCTACAGAAAAACAAGCTTACAGATTCAATGGGATGGAAGGCAATCAAGCCCAGTGCAGAGTATGCCACACTTCTCTGGCCCCACTCAACACCAAGCACCTTTCAGCTCTGTCCCCTAAGAACACTGTGATCCGCTAAGAATGTAACTGGACATTCCATCATTCTACCCATGGAAGGAATGCAATGAGGAAAGGCAACAGCAGCATGGACACAGGTATCTGGGATCAGGCAAGGGCATGTGACAACTTAGGCTACTCCACTGCACACCCTAAGTCCTGCAGCCAGGGACGGTCACAATATCCCAGGGGCTCAGGGCTTACGAAACAAGGACATCATCATCTGCTCCAGCCACTTTGAGATGCTGTGAGGATCAACTAGGTAATATAAAAAAGCTACACAACCAGCTCACACCTGATTATGGACCAAACCCAGGTCAGAAACACACCTCCAACACTGACAGGAAACAGGAAACAAGCTGATCATTGTCTACCCTGTAACTGCCCTTGGTGTCCTCAAAATCACACCTGGTACATACCAATACTGGCTACTTCCTAGCCACAAAGACTTTCAGGGATTCCCTTCAGAGGCCATGAGGGGACGTTTAAATGTTGGCCAACCAACAGTAATCAATTGAAGAAGGCTACCAAAGTATACATGACCTGTGACCTTTTTAAAAGTGAGGTTTTCAGGTCAGCTTAATGGCTATATTTACCACATGTAATAATGCTGGGAACAGAAGCTGGGAGAAGATGCCCAACTTTCTTTAGATTTGCAGAGAACACCTACAATAAAGCAATCTAACAAGACACAGGGCCTTTCCAGCAAGATCCACTTACAATTGAAATATTAAAAGCCAGTTGAAGGAATCCAGGACTCTATATTTAAACGTTCCCTTCTGAAAAGTTGTTCTCTTCTCTCACTAGCTCAGCTGTTTTCTATGATAAGAGCTATAGAAAAAAAATCCATTTTCCTCCCTACAAGTTTAAGAAACGCCCCTCAGTTTCTTTGGCAATATGAGACTCCAGCACCAACATTTCAGTCTACACTATAACTGTTTTTGCAATGTTTGTTTTAAGAGGCCACTCTCATTCACATTAGTTCAAGCACATTAAATATATGTGCTTTTATCAGAAGGTAGAAAGGGAAAATAGAAGCTTTAAAGCCCTCCAATAATATGTTTCCCAACTGTAAATGCACTGGATGGAGATAAAAGTGAAAGATACAATAGCTTGCAATGATCAGAATTTTAGAATCACAGAATTCTGGGGTTAAAAGCAGCTTAGATGCTGGCCTAGCTCTCCATAGTGCAGATGAGGAGATTGAAGGCCCCTAGTCTATCCACGATCACACAAAGCTCCCAGGCAGAGATGTTACAATGTCACTGAAGAAGCAGGTAAAACTCTAACTCTGGCAGTCCTGCCCCCAGGACAGCCCCTTGGCAGGGCATTCTGCATGCACCACAGGCGGACAGTTCCTAGGAGAGAGGAAGTATTCTGAATGTTCAAGAACACATACTCAGAGTTGGCACGAAGGTCACTGGGGGGGTTGGCAAACTTCCCACACCAGACCTAAGGTCTGATGAGGAAAGCCTTTCTAAGACAACTGCAATCATTTTATTTCATAACTTAAACACCTGCTTTGTCACAATCACTGGAAAAAGGGAAGACTGGAAGAAGAAGGGAAAAAAAATCTCCCCTCTGATTTCCTGTGTCTGCTTAGATCATCCTAAAGTAGGGAGCCTCCACGATGCTGACTTTAATGAGAGCCTTCCTAAAGCTGGTCCAACTGGTGTTCAAGTCCCTGGACTGAAAAACAAGTTTATGAGCAGCAAGGTCACCTGATTCTGACCATGTGCATGTTGTTTACCCTGAGATGACAGGCCAATGACTGCCACAGCTGTGATGAATGCTGTGAAGACTCTACTACCCCTTTGAAGGCTAATGGGGCCTCTCTATGACTAAATGCCATAAAAAGGAACCTTGAATGCAGCAAGAATGTGAAAGGAGGGAAGTCACAAACACCACTCGTCAGTGGGGGGAAACCCCATTCTGGACACTGAATTGTTAATGTACACTTGTTATTTGTTTCCTTGACCTGTGAGGTATCGCATTACAATATCACTAAAGAGAAGTCCCCTCCTCTATCTGCAATGCATCTACTTGTCATCAAGGTCTGCTGCTTAGACCAGGCCATACTCACAGTCAGGTAACAGAGGCAGCCCACTATTTAACCCTCTGCAGCCCAGACCCATGTGGCTATGCAGCTCACATCAGTCACAAGTGTCAGCCAGACCTTGAACTCTGACCACAGGGAATAGCTCAGTGTTGGGGGAAACAAGGTGGTAAGGAGGGGCTTACCCATCTCTTCCTTTGCTGACAATCTTCACCTCAAAGTAATAAATGCCACAGGCAGCAGGTATGGGGTGGGTGGCACGCACTGAGGCCGCATCTTTGTGATTTTTGCCATGACCTAATTGGAGAGAGCAAGGAAGACATTTCAGCACAAGGAAATGCAAATGGAGGCCTCATTCTTCTCTGCTCCATGGCAACTTCACCCTTCCATGGCCAAAGGAAGCCCTTACATAGTCTAAGGAATAATTAGACAACAAACTGAGCAAACACATAAACCTCCCACCTTTGTCTCACCTCCTAAGAATAGCAACCCTGCCTGATACTCTGTCTCCCATACAAACCAAGAGAGGGTACAGGCAATGTGGGTGCATGTGAAAGATTCCCCAATGCTGCTGGCAGTCTAGTCTCTCCAGAATACAGGCAGCTCACCTGGGAAACCACGGGAGGATGAGGAAGCCCTCGAAGACCCCTCCCCCACCTCTTCCAACTTTAGCACAGACCCCAGGCCCAGTCTGGCAGGTGAGCAAGCCCATAGGTCTCTGGCTAATGGAGAAGATGTGACCACCCCTTTCTTCAGACACTGCTGAAACGAAGCAGTAGTGCAGAAGAGCCCTGCTGGAGTTGGAGCTATCCCAGGGCAAGCAGAAAGGCCCTCGGGTGGAAGGTCCAACCCAGCACTGGGTCTGGACACCTGTTGCAGTTCTCCTGACATCGGGTGTTTCAGGGCAGAGCAGACCAGGCAGTCCATTCTCGGCCTGGTCAGCCCCACCACCGTGAACACCCGCAGGGGCTAAGGCCTAACTCGGAACACCCGGGACAGGGAAGAGACGTAACGTGGCAGGGGCTGGGCAACACAGCCATCCCGCAGACGCTCTGGCCTTTTCCCCCGTCGCGGCCAAACAGGCCAATACCTTTGTAGTGGACGCGGAGGTTGCCCTGGGAGAGGCCGATGTAGTTATACTTGTCCTTGGGGCTCCAGGAGCGCGGCAGCGGCGTCTCGTGCTGGTTGACCGCGGGGTACAGACGCTGCAGGCGCCGACTCAACTCCTGCTCCCCCGGGGACGGCAGCCCGCCCCCAGCGCCCCCGCCGGAGGAGTCTCCAGCCTGCGGGTTCCCAGCTCCCGGGTCCGCCGTCGCCGCCGCCATCTTGGAGGGAGCTGCTATTGTGTCACTGGGGGCGGGGAGGAACCGGACCAGATCCGCCCCGCTCAGCCAATGACCCGCAAGCCTACCAGGGCCGAAGGGAAACCGAGTCCTAGTCCCGCACCGCTCTTTTGACACGGACACGCCTTGTCACACTTTGAACTCCATATTCCACAATGCAGAGCTCTCCAGAGGTGGACCAACTGGGGCTGGCATGGAACTTTGGGAGAGGTAGTACAAACCTCTTCATCCATAAACCTGTTCGGCCGAGACTTTGGACCACTAAAAACTACAATTCCCGCTGGCAACGCGACTTCGGCCTCTCAGTTCACCTCTCTCCCCATGGCCTGTTTATACCCCTGCCTCGGTTCTGGTCGCTAGGGTCAAACCCGCTGTAGTGACTGGTTCTGAGAGGACCCCGCTCTGGAGTCCGAGTCCACTTTTGCTACTTGGCCTTCTTCCCAGCTCGCGAACGCGGGGCTCGTGGGCGTGGCAAACCTTGACCCCGCCCTCGCCGCTGGGCTGCTGGGGCCTGGTCGCCATGGCGATGGGCTGTACACTATCACAACTTCCCCGGCGGCCGATGCTTCCTGCCCGGCTGCCAGAGGGTCATGGCCTCCCCTAAACTGAGGTGCTCCAGATTCGCGACCACGTCGAGGTAGGCGCTGGCCGGGCTGAGGGCGGAGAGGAGGGCTTGAGTACTACCAGAAAAAAAAAAATGGTACCTGCTCCGGACCTCTGCACCTTCATTGGTCTGGGGTTCCAGCCCCACAGGATCGGTGGTACAAAAACAGTTTGAATCTTGGATGACTTGTCGCCCAGCGAGGATGTTACGTGCTAGCAAAAGGACAGACGCACTTCATCATTAGTAACAGCCAGCTTGTTTGTATTGAGTGTATATTATGTGACAAGTGCTTTATAAACCACATTTAATCTTCACAGCAACTCTATGAGGTAGTAATATCACCATCTTACAAATGAAGAAATGGAAGCCTGGAGAGATCATGTATTTTACATATTTGTAAGTGGTGGAGCTAGGATTTGAATCCAGCCATGCGAGACTCCTGAACCTGAGCTCTTGGTTAAACCACCTCTTCACCCACTGCCGTATGACAAAAATGCTTGTCAAATTGCCTACTGATTCCAAGCAGACCAGGCACATTCTACAGCCTTAGGGTAGCTCCTGCCTGTATTCAGAGGTGTAGCCTCTGGGCACTGCAAAACAAGCTCTGTTAGCCAGGAAAGCCACCAAATAATACAGATTAAAACAAAAATGTTGACAAATACTTTTCTAGCTTTGCTACCCCAGAGAAGGCCCTTAAAAGCCTCTGCTTCTATATGTCAAACATGGGATGATACAGCTCACACACAAACATTGTTGGGAACATTTAGGCAAATATATCATGCTCGCATCATAACTCTTGCATATAATAGGCATTCAGTAAGTGTTGAATGAATGTAGTTTCTCCCTTCTACTCATTCCCAATGCAAAAAACCTGATCTCACCTTAACTCTAATCCTTCAAGGTTTGCTGCCTTGACAGAGAAAGCCTACAAAAGTCAGGAAATTAAATGCCAATTGGATTATTTGATCCAGAGCTAAAATGAATCTACAAGAACCAGACAGCAGGCTTGAGAGTGTGTCACTACCCAGCACAGGAATTATTTAGGAAATTTCAGGCTTGTTTGAAAAGGACATGAAACAGACTCAGAAAGAAAATCCCCATCCATTTAAAGGAGGAAACATAATTGCTGAGGCTGAATTTGGTGGCAGTACAAAACATCATTCAACATCATTCATTCCTATCCATATTCTTCATTCACCAGTATTTAGTGATGTACATTGGGCCAGGTTCACTGTTTGCCTTAGAGTCACAGTATGAGAAGTCCTCTTCCAGCTCTCCTTAGAGCAGGGTCAGGATTATGAAACATACGCCAGACCTTAGCAGTATAGACATGTCAGCAGGACTCTCTAAAAAGGGACCTTTGAATTGTGCATTTCCATTGGGACAGGTTTCTCCTCCCCATTGGCTTTCTCCTTTCAAAGTAAGAACCTTTTTTTTTTTTTTTAGCTGAGCCATCCTGCCACCTGTTGGCAGCTCAGCTGCAACTCAGCTCAAGCCGGGAATTGAACCAGCGACCCTGTTGCTCAGAGCTTGCACTCTTGAGCGAGCTCTTAACCAACTGAGCCACTCGGCCAGCCCCTGGCTTTCTCCTTTCACCCTCACATCCTGGGCACAGTGGCTGGATAAATGGAATTCAGAAGCTTGAGTTCACTCAATACCAGGATATAATTACCCCCGACAAACCCACTGCCTGCCATTAGTTAAATAACTCAGTTTTCTCTACCTTTGAAGTAGAAATACAAGTGTCTGTTTCCTGTTCCCCTGACAATTGGTGTAAAATATTTACTATAATACAAAGGAATGTCCTAAGCTTCTTGGATAAGTCTATAGTCTCTAAGAGGTATTTTTTAAATTATTATCATTTGCAAGTCTGTTTTTTACTTTTTTACATTCAAAACTAACGTCTGTTACCTACTGAGCTTTTCCACTTGGCAACTGCTCAGGTTTTATAGAGTTCCCATATTTTTCTTGCTTACCTTGCGTTATATGGTAGCTCCAAAAGGAGCAAGAAAAACTGAATTTGGAAAATTGATTGGTCTTGACAGAAAGTTGTTTTTAACCTAGTGATCAGAGAGGTTGATCTGCTGTTTCCTGTCTCAAACCCATGAACATCTGGGCAAAAACCCTTTTCCACATTGGCTGTTTATTCGACATGGTTTGTTTACACTTGTTCAGCTTAGAGACAATAGAGGACTGGAGTTTGGGGTCACTGGGGTCACTGCTCCATGGAATAGGACTGAGAAACTCTGCAGAGCAGGGTTTCCAAACTGGGTTTGTGTTTCTGCTCTTGACTTCCCTGGAGTTTGAGTATTCCTAGGCTCACTTTTATGGACAAAAACACTGAGGTTGGAACTCAGGGGAACTAGATGGAACAGCATCCAGAGGTTAAACAACATACCCAAGGTCACCACCTAGCAAGGGGAATGAAGACACAAGTCTATCTGGCAGCATAAATCACCCTCCCCCACCCCATAGATTGCTGAAATGACTTCTTTTGTTCCACCTGGCTCTGCCTGCGCACATGCAGCCCTCCCTGTTGACCCCACATCCCTTCCTAGCCTGAGCAAGGATGGCTCTCCAAGAGGCCATCCTCAGTAGGTTAAAGACCTCCTCAGGATCCACTTGTCTCCCATTTTACTGTCATAATTAACATCTCCACAGCAACTTGCAGTCTACAGGCTACTTTTGCATATTTCTTTTGCTCTTATTTAAATTTCCCAGCAACTTTGTGAGATAGGAAAAGCAAGAATTGTCTCCATTTTATTTTGAGGAAACTAAGCTTAGAGCAGGCAAATGACTTGCCCAAGGGATTCTTTTGGAACCGACAGACGTCAGCCCCCATGGCTCTATAAACCAGTAAGTGGAGGATTGAAACTCCAACCCTGGCTCTTGGACCCCAGACCCTGTGCTTCTTGTCCTATAGCACCTGCCAAGCATGTGCCAGTCATGTACATGAAACTGCCATCTCAGCCACAGCTGAAAGCTAAATGGAAACAGGCCTTCCAGGTTCTCGGGGTGCATGGTGAGGGTGTCCTGCCACTGCAGGAGTTGGTGAGACTCTGGTGATGAGAAAGTTTCTGGGAATGTAGGAAAACGGTTTGGGCCCAGGGCCAGGAGATTGTTGGCAGCATCTCTGGGAATCTGGAGGGAGCACTGGGAAGACACAGAGCCTGGCTCTGAGGTCAGAGGAGGCCATGTCTTGTGGACCTGGGAAGGGTGAAAGTGTTCTCCCCACTCAGGGCTCTGTCACCCACCACTTTCTTCCCCTTCTCTGTACAGAACACACCCACAGCCTTCAGGAGTCACCATAGATGACCCCTTCGTCACAGAAATCAATACTCAGAAACTCAAGCTTTCTCAGAAACAGAAGAGACTGGTTAGTGGCGATGTCCTATTGGAACTCCAAATGTCAGCCCCCAAAGCCTATCTGCTTCCCTCTCTGCAACCCAAAGCACCACCCACTTGAAACATGGCCCACCAAATAGCTTCTCCTGTCCGGAGAGTGTGGCTTACTGAGGCCAAGTCCACCGGCTTCTGGGGTGGGAATGTGCACACTTGCTACACCTCCTCTGAAAAGCCTTCTCAGATTCCCCAACAGAGAGAGACTCTGCCCACACCCCTGGATACCCTTTCCCAGCAACTCAGACTTGGAGTAGACTTCATTTCTTCATGGAGCCTGCGATATGCCAGGCACTGTGCTAGGTACTGGGATGGTCCCACCAGATCTGCCAAGGTCCTTCAGGGCTGTGACTTTTTGTCTTTAAGATCTGCATGCCTGATCGGGCACTTGATGGCTGGCATATGTGCTCCATAAATGCTTCCAGTAGGTATGTGAAGGCAGGAGTAAAGGGATGTGTCTCCATTGAGTTGTTGGCTCTGGGTTGGAGTAGAGACTCTTTACCAGCCTCAGGAAAGTTCCTTCCTCCATTCCTGTTCTTTAAAGTGTTTACCTAGAAATGAATGCTGTCTTATTAAGTACTTTAAGTTTTTTGTTGATATGATTATAAGATTGTCATTATTTAATCAGTACACAGCCATTGTCCAAATCTCACAGATAAAAAAAAAAATTTGAGCAAACTTATAACTCCAGCTCACAGTGGAGCACTGTGGGCTGTGTGTTGATTTTTCTTGTGTGAGTGTGTCTTGTGTAGAGGATTTGGGGACACATGGACCACACATTTTGTGAGGTTGGGGAGTCCCAAAACGGAGGTAAAGGGGGTAGTATGCACTCTTTGCGGAGAACAAGTACAGCCATGGCTCCACAAGACCCGATGACTTGGGGCGCCCACTCCCAATCCCCCCTCACCTGCCACCGACTCGGTGGACCTGGGGTGGGTCTCTCCTTCTCTTCCTCCTGTGCGGCGACTGCTAAGCTGTTCTTAACCACCAGAGGGCGCTGTTCCCTCCCGTCGACCCTGCACCCCGGGCCGCCCTCCCCATTTTCACCTGCAGGGGGAAGCAGAGAGCATGGAGCACCGTGGAGCGCCTTGGAAAGCCTCCTTCCAGCCACCGGCTTGCTGAGGCCTTCCCAGCTGTTGATAACCAGACCAAGAAGCAGTACATGTCCAGCAGTCAAAGTAGGGTGGCACGTTTTCTCTCAGCAGAAATAGCAGACAGAACACGAGGACTGGCCTCTGAAAGTGTGAAAAACTTATTAGCTCACTAGGGTTAAGTTCTTTGAGAACTTTCCAGGGTTACTTTGCACTTTTATAAAAATCACATCAATTTTGCTTGTCTCTCAAAAACACTTTTTCTGACTTGATTTTTAAGTTTGGCTTCTCTTATTTTTCCAGTTTTTCTATTTCTACTTTTATTTCGTATTATTTAAAAAATTATTATTTATGGTTCTTTTCCTTTCCAAGCAACCAAAGGCTTAAGGCTTTCTTTCTTTTTCTTTTGTTATTTTTAAGCTGAGCCATCCTGCCACCTGTTGGCAGCTCAGCTCAGGCCGTGAATCAGACCAGGGACCCTGTTGCTCAGAGCTCCCACTCTTGAGTGAGCTCTTAACCAACCGAGCCACTCGGCCGGCCCTAAGGCTTTCTTTCTTAATAGCAAAAGGGTTTTAAGCAATTAAAATAAATACCCATGAGTGTTTCTCTGATCATGTCCCAAACATTTTGAACACGTAATTTTAACATGTCTATAATATGTTGTATTTTTATTTTAAGTATTGAATGAGTCAGGAGTTTATTTTTAAATTTCTAAGTGGCCCTTTTTTTAGAGGTATATGTATATTGTCAGTTCCTATTTTCACTGCATTATATCAGCAAATGCAACATACAGTTGACCCTTGAACAACACGGGTTTGAACTGCACAGGTCCACTTACACATAGAGATTATTTTTTCAATAAATATATTGGGAAATTTTTTGGAGATTTGTGACAATTTGAAAAAACTCACAAACCACTGATTTTCTTAACATTTTCTTTTCTAGCTTACTTTAAGAATACAGTGTATAATACATATGACATATAAAACATGTTAATCGACTGTTATCGATAAGGCTTCCAATCAACAGTAGGCTATTAGTAGTTAAGTTTTTGGAGAGTCAAAAGTTACATGTGGATTTTTGACTGTGTGGGGTTTGGCGCCCTTAAACCCCACATTGTTCAAGGGTCAGCTGTATATAGTTTCTGGTTTTAAAATGTGTTCAGACCTTATCTGTGGCCTATGATTAGTTTTTTGTATATATTAAAAGATTGGTCTTTATTTCCATTTAATGCACATTGTAAATCTGTTCATCTGTCATTATCAATTATATTACTTTCAGCATTAGTGCCTTTTACCTTTTTCTATTTGATGTAGCTTATTCTGATAGGAGGGCCTTAAGCTGTTTCCAACAATTCTGTTTCATCTCCTTTACCCCCCCCATTTTCATTTATTAACAAATACCTGTTGATTACCACTATGTTCCAGTCACTGGGGATACAGTGGGAAAAAAGACAGACATAGTCTCTGTTTCTATAATGATGGGAAAGTGTGGGCATTGGGCCTGGGAAGAGTATCAAGGAGAATCCCTGGGATCTTAAGGATGAATAGTTAGGATAGAGCATTCTTGACCCAAGGAGAGCATGTGTAAACATATACACCCAGTTAGTAATGTTTCTGTTTTTATTTTGCCTTTCATCCATGCTAAATTATTGTGCTCCCTTATATATTTATTCCACAATATTTGTTAAGTGCGTGCTACTCAAGACTATGAAGTGTGAAGTACGATACCATCAATTCTGGATATACAGAGATAGATCAACCAGACCCCACAAGAGGCTAAAGTCCTCCCTCAAACCTAATAATAAGGGTTACTATATACTTTCCAAAAATATTTAGGGAAAGAATGAATGATCCCAAGATTAAGATAAAATATGTAGAATTAACAGAATGCAAGGAAGAGCCCAAGGAGACAATGGCATCTCCACACTTAGGAGAGTTAGGAGCCACTTGCCATTAACCTAGAAGGACTCCTAGGACCTGGATATGTGGGGCATGGGAGGTAAACCTGGCCTCTCCAACCCAGAAGAACCTGGAGGCTGGACTCAGGGCCACAGAGGGGCCTTTAATATTAAATTCCATATTAAATCCAATAATCCAATTTTCTTTTAAATTTGAAAGTAATTTATGTGCTTTGTAGAAAATTTTGAAAAATGTAGTTATAGATGAATAAGGACTCATGGGCTTCTCATTAGACAATAATAATTGCTGATAACCTTTTGGGCTATTTCCTCCATCTTTCTTGGTCTTTCATTTTACCTGGTTGTACTTTTTCCCTAACTACAGGCCTTCCATAACCTTGAGAGCCATAGCATTAGTATGTGGATACTAATTTAATGGCTATATAACAATTTTATATTTTTAGGTACTTAGGAGTTTTCTAATTTTGTCCCAGTCATAAGTAAGGCTTTGAGAACTGACCTTGTACATAAAGCTGCTGCTCCATCTGTCCCACTCTGCACTGGCTGCCCCAGGCCTCAGCCTCAGCCAGCCTGCCCTCCTTGGGCATTGGCCTCTGTTCATAGCTCCTCAAAACTCCTGTTGTTTCCCTGAGGTGTTGGTGCTACCCAGGCAGGTTTTGTGTCCCTTAGCCCTCACCACCACCACACCCACACTCACACCCTATGCCAGATGTGACTGCAGCTTCTCCCATGCCCTCATTTAAGCTTTATTGAACATCACTGACATCACCTCCTCCTCTTCTAAAATAGCCTGTGCCTTTGGCCCCCTCCACTCAGGGCCCCCCTTGTTCCTATAACCTGCATTGGTTTCAGTCACTACCTGCTGACTTGTGCTTGTCAGTTAACTTTAAGAAATGTTTGATGAATAAATGAGTGACTGACTGAATGAACTCTAGAAGTGGGCTTCACTAGTCAGAGATCATTTTTTTCTCCTATGTTTTGAATATTTCCTGAAAAGTTTAAAAAACAAGCCCATACACACTACAACTTCCACCGCTTACCCCTGCTCGAGGTTCAAAATGAGACCCACTGCCTCAGTGCACTCTTACCACCTCCCCCTCCCACTCCCCGAGGCAGTACAGCCCAGTCTCCTCCCAGGGTCCACAGCTCACCCTGCTGCCCCTCTGCAGTCCTGTCAGTCCAGACTTGAGGCTGGTCCTGCCCTCCTGTCTGTCTCTAACTGGACTGTGCTGTGGGAGCAAGGGCCGGTCCTAATCAGTACTCACATCTGTTTTCACAGCACAGATATCCAATACTTACTGACATATCTACAGATGAGAATAGCTTGCCTTTACTGAGTTCCTAGGAGGTGCCTGGGTCTGTGTAAACCCCTTTTATGCTTTATCTTTGCATCCTCACATCAATGTAGTACAATGGGGGCTACAGCCATTTCACAGATACAGAGACTGAGGCTCAGAGAAGTTAAGCCTGTGGTCACACAGCTAATAAGGGAGATCTGGGACTTAACCTAAGCCCTCTCTAACTCTAGGGCCCACGGTCGTAGTTATGAAGTATATTGAGAGATGTTGGTGGGGGAAATCACGAATGGGAGGAGCAGCAGGAAGTGGAACAATGTTGCTATGATAACCCCATCTGTCCCTTCCTCTCAGTCCTCCATTGGCAGCCACCTGTCCCCATGGCCCACATACACCAGTGGCCACACCATTCTGCATAATCGAAAGCCCTGTTCAGATGACGGCCGGAAACGAGCAGGGTAAGTCAGGATCAGCCTGATGGTGGATGGACTGGAACAGACCCCACATAGGGCCCAGAGATAACATAGGGGTGTGTCCTGCCCCAGTCCGAGGGTGCAAGGGCCTCGTGGGGTGCCCATCACAACTCAGCCCACCATCCCCTGCAGTAGCTGGCAGCAGCAGCCCCTGGGCACTACCAAGCCAAGGTATCTGGAGCAGTTAGAGAACTATCTACGCAAGGAGCTCCTCCTGCTGGACCTGGGCACAGATTCTGCTCAGGAGCTGAGGCTTCAGGTCAGAGCCACAGAATTACTGTAGGGAGGGTAGGGGGAGGGGTGGAAGGAAACCTTACTCAACAGGACTGAGCTCTTCAGACCCAGAAGAGACCAGCCTCTCCCAGCTCTTTTGGGTTCCCCTTGGGTACGAGAAACATATTCTATGACAAAGCCAGTGAGCAGGAAAGGCTACCAGTATGGAACCAAAACTTCTGAGGCTTGAGTTTCCTCACCTGAGTCAGGTGGACTGGATTCTGCCTTCAGTTGCTTCAGCTCTGTGATCCCAGTGCCCAGCTTGGGTCACTGGATATCAGTGAATAGAGCCTGAATCCTGGCAGTTGGGCAAACAGGGATCCTACAGTGTCCAGCAGCTCAGTGACAACAGCCCCAAGTTTCAGAAACTTACCCCAGACACATAAAGAGAAAGAAATCTAGATGCAACCTAGATTCTGGTACATATTAGGGAGAGAATCACCAAATCCCTACTCAAACAGGGATGATGATGGGGAATCCAGCCTGGGGTCACTTCTGACTTAGTCACTGACGAAAGCATTTGTTGAGCACTGAGTGTCAGGCCCTGCACAGGGCCTTATATACGACCTCACAAACTGAAAGTACCTCACCAAGGAAGAAGCTCAGAGAAGTATACAGATATGAAGTGGTGGGGCTAGGATTCAAACTCAGGGCTGATTCGGGAGCCTGTGCTCATTCCAGTACACAATGCTGACTCCAAACCCTTCATGTATATCCAAGTGTGACAGGAAACCACACCTCTATTTGAAGGTCAGAATGTATGGCTGGAGCCTTCCATCTCCACCTGCTCCCACAGGGCTGTATGTTGGGGAAGGGTGAGTGCTGGTGAGAGGTCAACTGAGGCATAGTGCATGGAGGAGGCTGGCTGCCTAGAGAGCCACAAAGGGGGTTGGGGTACAGAGGGGGAGTTCCTGACCCAGGTCGCCTGCCAGGCCTCAGAGACAGCACCAGGAGAGGCCTCCAGACAGCAGTTGAGAGGAAGAGTTGCCCCTCAGCTCCCTGGCACTGTGAGAGACCCTGGTGGTGTCTGGAGTATTTGAATGTGGGCCACCTGGAAGTTCCATGCTAGAATACTTCTAAGCCAAGCAAAAAAAAACTCAGTTCCCACTGAGGATGGTGGCTAAAGGCCAGGAGGTAACAAGTTCCCTTTTCTTGCCAGCCTTACAGAGAGATCTTTGAGTTCTTCATAGAGGACTTCAAAACGTACAAGCCATTGCTGTCCTCCATCAAGAATGCATATGAGGTGATGCTGGGTAAGGTTGCAGCCTCCCTGCCTGAGCCCAGAGGATCCTACTCTGACCTTCTGGGGCTCTGAAGCAAGGCTGAAACAGCTACTAACTGAACCTTAAAGTCACCGAGCCCTGCTTAGCCTTTTTGCTTACACTGTTCTGTGATGGAGCACCCCAGGGCACTTGACCACCTTCTGTCCTTGGGGAGCATAGTGGGGCAGTATCTGTAGGAAATAGAGCACCTTTTCTATTGAGAGTGAGCCCAGAAGGGAGCAAGTACCTCTGGAAAGTGAGGAGGCTCCCCTCAACCAGATTTAGGAGGTGCCAGGCATGGCAGGTACAGCTGTAGGACTAAAGGTTATAGGGGGAAAGGGCATAGGCGAGATCTCAGTCCTCATCTAGACTCTGCCCTTGGTTTAAAAGCAAGTGGAGTGGGCTGGCCAAGTGGCTCAGTTGGTTAAGAGCTCGCTCAAGAGTGCAAGCTCTGAGCAACTAGCGGTTTGATTCCCGGCCCAAACTGAGCTGCGGCTGAGCTGCCAACAGGTGGCAGGATGGCTCAGCTATAAATAAATAAATAGGTAAATAAATAAATAAAAGCAAGTGGAGGAAGGCCTGAAGCAGGGGCCATGTTTTGAACAAGGCATGGGTAGACTCTTGGAGTTTGCAAGGGATGTAGCCACTCACTGTGACCTTAGGATCAACGTCTCCTGGCTGTTTCCCATGGCCCCAAAGGGACTCTCCCGCCTGTCCCTGCTTAGCCCAACAGAAGGAGAGGATTCGGGCTCTGGAGCCCCTGAAGGCCAAGCTTGTCACTGTGAATGATTACTGCAACAAGCAGATCCTGGCCATGAGGGCTGAGGAGAAAACCGAAATCTCCATGCTAAAGAAAGAGAAGATGAATTTGCTGAAACTCATTGACAAAAAGAACGAGGAGAAGATTTCATTGCAGAGTGAGGTGAATGGGAGTAACACAGTGACCAACTCCCTGAATCCCTCCCCGTTATTCCAGGGGTGACCTGAGGCCTTGGGCACTGAGGTGACCCCCTAATTCCCTCCACCCTTCTGCCTGGAATGACATACTGAGCCACCACCTTCCCAGCAACCTCCACACTCTGCCCTCTACCTTGGCTCAGCACTGGCTTGGTGTGGCCTCAAATGCCAACAGAGTCCTGCTCTTGACTGCCAGACTTTCTCCACAGGACACACTGACACTTTGAGGGATTCTCAGGAATGGCCAGTCTCCCTCTCCCTTTCTTGTTCTCAGGCCCTGATGGGGCCACCCAGCACACATCCCATCCCCAAGGATCCAAAGGCATCCCCTGACCAATGCAGCCACCTTCCCAACAGGTGACCAAACTGAGGAAGAACTTGGCTGAGGAGTACCTGCGCTATCTCAGTGAGCGAGATGCCCGCAAGGTCCTCATCGCAGACCTGAATGAGCTACGGTACCAGCGGGAAGACATGTCACTAGCCCAATCCCCAGGTAAGCCTGAGGTGGTTTTCTCCCGAGGAGGCACTAGAGATGCATCTGGCTCTCACTACTCACCTACATTCATTCAACTCCCCTAATATCTGCTCATTCCATGCCCATTCGTGATGGGAGATATCCCTGATGCCACGTGGATCTTCTGAGCTAGACTGAGAATTAGACTCATTGTTTAAGCAGGAAACAATTGCTGGCAGCTGAGGCAGCCTAGACTCCCTAAGGGCAGGACAGGTCTGGTATCCCTTGTCTTGGGTTTCTCATAGGCTGGTAGCACTATGGGAAAGACCCAGGGGTTCCTAAGTAGGGAGAGCAAGACTTGGCACATGCCCTAAGGGACACTCTAACCCTGCCCTGGGCTACAAGCACCAGAGACAGGATGATACAAGCTGGGGGGGCCCATGGCAGGCATCTGGGGGGAGGACCCCGTGAAGTTAACAGTGGCCCTGAAGATGACCCGCCAAGACCTGGCCCGCACGCAGATGGAACTCAACACCATGAAGGCCAACTTTGGAGATGTGGTGCCCAGGAGGGACTTTGAAATGCAGGAGAAGACCAACAAGGATCTGCAGGAGCAGGTGCTGGTGGGCAGGCAGGCCAGGCAGGGTAGGGCACGGTCATTCAGGTGGGCAGCAAGGACCAATCACCTTGCCCACAGCTGGACAGCCTGAGAGATGACTACAAAGAGGTCTGCAAGGAGCACGAGATCCTGCTGCAGTTGCACATGAACACGCTGAAAGAGCGGGACCAGTTTTATTCTGAGCTGCAGGAGATCCAGCGCACCTCCACACCACGGCCTGACTGGACCAAGTGCAAAGGTAATGATGGCAATTGGGGCCCCAGGAGCTCCTTAGGTGTGTGGTCTAGACTCCAGCTTCTTCTTTCCTCTTGCAGATGTGGTGGCTGGGGGTCCAGATCGCTGGCAATTACTGGCCAAGGGCAAGAACAGCGACCAGCTGGTGGATGTGCTCCTGGAGGAGATTGGCGAGGGGTTGCTCCAGGAGAAAGACTTCTTCTCTGGTCTGGTAGGAGAGTCCCTGGGCTTGGGAGGCTTGGGGCCAGTCAGAATGGTGAGGCCTTGCGGCTGAGACTTGAGGTTCTGGGGAAACCACCTGGGGCTCGCTCTGCCCTACTTGAGGGTGGGGCTACAGATGAGCCCAGTGATGAGTTGACACTCTCCCTTCCAGGGCTATGAGGAGTCTGTCCCCCCTTTCCTTCGATTTGATGGTGTTGTGGAGAATAAGAAGCCAACCAAGAAGGATGTGATAAACCTCCTTAGGGATGCCTGGAAGGAACGTCTCACTGAGGAGCAGGTCAGATCTCACCAGCCATTTTAGCCTGGCGTGGCCTCCAGCATCCTCCAGGGGGTTCCCTCAAAGTGCTAGAGAACAGGGAAGAGGGACAACCAACCATGGGGCGGCTGACCAAGTAGTCTTTTCCCACCCTACAGAAAGAGAAGTTCCCAGATTTCTTCTTCAATTTCCTGGAACGTCGCTTTGGGCCTGCTGATGCCATGGCCTGGGCTTACTCTATTTTTGAAAACATTAAGCTCTTTCGCTCCAATGAGATCATGGGTCAGTTCTATGCACTCTTGATGGGAAAGGTGAGCTTGGGTCTGGCCCTCTACCCTTTGTCCCCAACATAGGTCAGCTCTGTCCCCACCACTCCAAGAAGCAGCAAGTTAGTCAGTGCTTCCCTCCCTGCAGAGGAGCGAAAGTGTGTACATCAAGCAGAAGGAGACAATAGCAGAGCTGCTGAAGGAGATGACAAATGTTGACAGTCAGAATGAGGGGCTACTAACCATGGAGCAGTTAAGGTGAGAGGCCAGCCAGGCCACCTCAAACTCTTGCCCAACATCTCCTCTGGCTAGGCTCCCAAGTGTTTGAGGAAAAGGGGAACCTGGCGGGAAGGGCCACAGCCTCAGTGCTGGCTGCCCTTTTGAACACTAGTGGGCCTGGCAAGAGTGTGCAGGAAGATGGGTGGTCAGGCCTCTGCCAGGCCCCTGTTGGCCCTTGTGTCTCCTCACAGGACTGTCCTCAAGAGCACCTTCCCCTTCAAGAAGGAAGAGAAAATTCAGGAGCTAATGGAAGCAGGGGGCTGGCATCCCAACAGCAGCAATGCAGACTTGCTCAACTACCACTCATTGTTTATAGAGGTTGGTGCGTCGGTGGGTGGGGGGGTCCAGAAATTTGCCAACCCCTGCCCTAGCCTCTGCTAGACATTAGCCCATGACCTCACCCTGTCTTATGGCCTCTCCCAGGATGAGGAGGGCCAGAGTGTGCCCTTTGTGCAAAAGCTATGGGAACAGTACCTGGATGAAAAGGATAAGTACTTAAAGGAGCTAAAGCAGCAGCTGGGCCTGGAACTGTGAGTGACCCTGGGGCCCTCAGGCCCACTTAGCCATAGGCGAGTCCTGCAGCCTGGGCCAGAGGGTGGCATCTCAAACCCTTGGGTCTCCCTGTGTACTGAGCTTGCTGCTGGGCACTATATACTGCTCAAGTCTGGCAGAAGGCATCTTGGGCTCCGGGGTGCAGGGGAGAGGGAGCAGTCAAGGCCTATCTTGCTCTTTTCTTGTGGGACAGCCGTGATAAGGTGACCCTACCCAAGGTACGTGAGGCCCTGATGATTATCGATTCCAAACTGGACAAGCAAACCCTGAACAGCTATTTGAGCCAGGCCTTCCAGCTCCCTGTGACAAAACTGCCAGAGGAGGGTGAAGAGATGGAAGAGGATATTGTGATATTGCTCCAGACTGCCCTGGAACGGCTTCAGATGGCTGACATCAGGCGCATGGGGCCTCGAGAGCAGGAGCCTGCAAACTAGGGCCACTATGGGCAGCTAAACCTTGACTTTTAGTATAAAATTGTTTGTCTGAACCCATGCTATTCTCCCAGTTATGCTGGGGAGTCAAGGGGAGGGGGTTGGTTCCTGCCTGGCTGGCCCCAGGACATGTACCAAAACATGGCATATTCTGTTTATGATACTTTATTGATGGGGGATGGGGAGGAGACCTGGAAGAGTATGTGGGACCAAGGGCCCCAGGTGGGGGCAGGGCAGGTGTCGAGGCCTGACCACTACTGGGCAGGGAAGACAGAGTTGCCACTGAATGCACAAGGAATGAGCAGCTGCCGGTACTCCAGGGGCAGGTGCCGCTCCACAAGCACATGCAGGGATACTTTGTCGGTGACCAGACCCTGCCTGCAGTAGAAGACAGAGACAGACAGAATTAGCCCCAGCATTCCCACACCGAGAACCTTCCTGTTTCTGCCCACTTACCGTCGCATCAGCAGCTCTAGGTCCTCTGGCCTCACAGTCTTGCGGCCAGCATGAGCAGCAAACACCTCCAGGTCATCACAAAGATGTTGGAAATACTTGTCCAGGCTGCCAAGTATGTTGGAATAGAACAGACTAAACAGACTGTTCATGATCTAAGGGGCTCCTCTCCCACCCGTGGGTACAGGACTCACCACTTCTCCACCATCTCAATAGCCTTCTTCTCCATGGGCATCTTAGCATAGAAGCTGAAGAGTTTAGCATAGTGGCTCAGTCCAGTCTTGTAGGGATCTCGACGTTGTCTGGGGCCAGCAGTTCGGGCCTTGGGAGGAAGCCTGGTTGACAGAGGCTCCAGAGGCTCTGAAGAAAAGCTGGGAGCAGGAATGGATAGAGTTAGCTAAACTGCTGCCTGAAGAGGCCCCTAATCAAAGATAAGTTCGGCTGGCTCCTGCCAAGACTGGAACCCTTGTGCTCCTTGGCCAGCCTTGACCAACAGCTCTAACCATCTGTTGGGGGAAAATGGGGACAAGGCCATATAGAGGCCTGGTCTCTCCCTGGAGCCCTGATCCTCTACAGTCTGGACCCCGTGTCCTAGTCTATCCTCATCATACAAACTAGTATTTGCTCAGGCCCATTACCCTTAGGCCTCCGTGTGGACATTCCCTCCCCTTAGCCCACTGCTGCCTGTCTGATTCTACTAATCCTCCTCCAGGAAGCCTTCCCTGACTACATATTGACCCAACCACTTCCCCCTACTCAGGCTCCTATAAGCCCCTGGAAGCTGGCACCAGAATGACAGATGTGCTCTCAGTGAACCCCACCCAGCTCACCTAAGGGTGCTATGCTAGGTAATGATCTGCATACCTGTAGAAAGAGGGATAACCCCCTGGTGCTCAATGCCAACCTCAGTGTCTGTCCCCTTCCCAAGAGGTCCATATAGAACAAGGTCATGGTATCTTACACTGCAGTGCTCGCCGGTGGGGCTGGCAACTGAAGTTGACTGGCCTGATGAAACTCTGGGGTGCTGGAGGCCAACTTGGGACTTGCTGTAGAGAAAGGGCAGGGTTACAGGGGCTCAGGCCTAACCATCTCATATAACCCTGAAGGCCTACAGCTTCCTTGTCCTGTTCTTTGAGGGCCCAGCTAGCTCCAGCCAGCCAAGCAAGGGGCCCCTCAGAGTCTCCCTGTGTTCAGAAACACAACTCAAGTAAGGCCCTCCTCCAATGTCAGGGACTAAACATAGCTATCACTGACCCACTCACCCCGATTCTTGCATTTGGCCCTTCACCTGTCCTATCAAAGGTGTTTTTATCCCCTGAAGATCCTTCTGGCTCCTTGGCGTCAACAGCCCCCCAGGATTCCTCTGCTTCTATCATTTCTGTGTGTGTCTCAGGCTCTTCTTCTCTGACAGATCCTTGTGCTCCAGCTGCCTCCTTCACTTTGCTCATGCACAAGCTTTCTTCCATCATTTCTTCTACCTCCTTGCCAACTTCATCCTGTAAGGGGTCTAGTCCACCTTCTTCAGAGATACTACTGCTGTTGTTTGAGAAGCCCATAGCAAGGGCATCAACTTCCTCTGCCTTTCCTGCCAGAAGTTGTGCTGGTTTCCTAAGACCTGAATCAAGGGGAGAGAATATAGGCTAGAGAAGCAGTCGGCCAAAGCTGTAGTTCTGAGAATGGGTAAAGATGGAGTAGTAAAACCCAGTCTAGCTCATTGAGGAAAGAAGGCCAGAGGCAGCCTCAGGGCACTGATTTGGAGTCTCCTGGCTCAACACTGACTCTGCTCTTAGATGGAGGAGGGACCAACAGCCAGGGCACTCTGATGGGCACACATATGGACCTGGGGAAGGAAAACCACCTAGTGCCAACTCTCGCCCAAGCTTGGGTTGGCTCTAGGGTCACCTGCCCCACATACTCACTGTTGTTCTGCAGCCTAGGCCCAAGGCTCCGTGTCCTGAAACTGACAGCCCTCTCAGCAGAGACAGAGGAGCAGGGCAGGGAGTGGTACACACTGGAGGAACGGCCAATCAAAGGCTGGGGAAAGGGCTGGGTGTCCTCCAACACAGTGTCCATTGGCAGGGTACCAACAGGAGTATTGAGGCTGTTACCTGGACATTAAGAGCCTGATGGCACTCAGTGTACTCCAGGCCTACGTGATGCTACCCAGTCACCAGGGCCTGGCTATGGGGCCCCATGAGTTTGTCCCGAGTGGCCTCCAGAGAGAGAAGACTACCTAGCACTCTAAGCTTTATCTCCCTTCCATAGCTCTTCCTACTTACCGTCCGGCTCATTAGCCTGGCATTCCCAGGCTCCACAGCTTGCCCCACCCAAACTGCTCACCTATGCCTTCACTCTCTACTTCTCACTTTGCTCCCTCTGCCTGGAACCCTCCTCTTAACCCTGGTGAACTTGTCTTGTCTTCCGGAATCAGATTCCCAGGTCAGCTCTGACTGGCCTGCTGATCCCAAAACTTGGCCCCTTTCTACCTCCCAGCAAGCTCCAGCTACCCCTTTCCTACTCTCAGCCTTGTAGCTCCTCAAGGATATGGAATCCTGGAAGACCCTGAGGGACTAAGACTGGGTCGCACCAAGATAAGGGCATCTTATAGAAAGAAAACAGAAACTCCTTATAGACCTGTTGGCCAAGCTTGCTTACTGTCCTTGACCCAATGGAGAGGGGAGCAACCCTGGACTCAGCAGCACCTCCTATCTTTCATGGGCAAAGAGCTTTCTCCACAGACTGGAAGAGAGAAATCTCAACCTTACCTGACAGAGCCAAGGCCACAGAAGTATTCTGCAGATCCTGCAAAAATACACCCACATCTACAGCTCGGCGTGTAGGAGGTCTGCGGGCCAAACCAGGCCTCTGCACTGACTGTGGCTGGAAAGGTGTAGCAAAGGTCAGGTTGAGGGAGCTGGTGGGAGGGAGGAAGCACAAAGGAAAGTCAGCTACTTGAGGCCCAGCCCTCCCACACCCCTACCCCCATTTCTCCATCTGCCCTGGTGCTCTCATTTCTTAGAACATAGCCACCATGCTATGAGGCTAAAACTGGGAGCAGTATGGCCAGAATTCATTCTGGTCAGCACCTCTTTTCCCAAGCCTCTCCTCCAACCCCCAGAACAGACAACAGTACCTGGTGAGGGAGGAGGCATCAGCATTCCCATGAGACTCTGTAAGAGGACATAAAAAGAAGAAACCATGACAAAGTTACCCAGGCTCACGCTAGCCCTTTCTCAGGCTTCCTCAGGCTCTACAGAGGACAGGAGAGAGAGTGGCCGTAGTCGTTGTCCAGGGCCTCACCTTGGGAGAGAGGCAGCCCCTGGTCCATTCCTTGCTGAAACACTGACAATCTCAGCCTCCGCTTCCTCCTGCCAGAAGCCAGCAGACCTGGAGCCAGGATTGTAGGGGGTTCGAGCTCAGGAAGTTGCAGCTCCAGGCTACAAGGATGGAGCTTATCTCAGACAGACCAGGAAGCCCAAATCTGGCTTTTGGGGCCCCCAAAAAGCTGCCTGACCAGAGCTGTCTAACAGCCCAGCCCCAGGGAGGAATTCACTGTGTACCTGCCCCGACTGCTTTCCGGGCTGGAGGGCTGCATCACCTGCGGTGCCGGCACTGGCTTCACCACTGACTGTGGCATGACCATGGAAGATTCTGGGGCTGTAGAAATAGCAAGAAGAGGATGGGGTTGGCAGGGTAGGCTGCCTGAATGAGGGATACCATGGGACTGGTTGCCTAACTCTAACCAGCCGGCCAGTGCTCACTCACCAGTTAGTAGGATGTTCTCCAGCAGAGTCCGGGGTGTCTGTTCTTTCAGGTGTTCACTGGTTTGAATGTGGGCCAATCTGTTAATAGACTTTGGGCAAAAGCACTAAGCAAACAGTCTGTTCTTTTGCCTTGAGATTTCCTCAAGGTGGGCTCCAGAGTGGAGCTAGACCTCAGGGACCCCTGAAGGCAGCCAGGGCCCTATAGTGTAGCCAGTGGGCTGGGCACTTACCCTGGTTCTATGGGAACGCTGCTTGGTAGCTGTCTTTGTTTGGCTCCTCAGCCTCATAGAGAAAGGTGTTTCAAGCAGGGCTCTCTGGGCACTGTATAAAGACCAGCGGCTCTGAGAATTATGTAGGGAGGGGGAACTAGCGGATGCTGAAACATGCCTTCATCAGGATCTTGGCCTGAAGTCTTTTCCCCTCAGGGCCAACAACCCAGAAACCACTTGTCCCCCCATAGCCCCTGTTCCCAGCTCTGTGTCACTAGGATTGTGGATGAAAAGGAGCCCAAGGGGTATGGGAAGAAAGAGAAAATAATGACCCAGTCAGAGAGAGGGCTGAGGAAGGCTTTACAAAGGTGAGTTTGGCAGAAGTAGGGGTGAACCACGAGGACAAGAGGAGCAATTTTAAGAGTATCCATCCAGCTATTAAAATAACAATCCAAGAAAGACATTTAAATATTTTTAAACATTTAAGTACTTGTCAGGGTCTGACAGCAACCTCTACATGGGTCACTCTAGCCCTAGTCTCTCCAGTCCAATCCCTCTCAGGTTCCAGAATCACATTAACGTTCCCAAGGCACAGTTCCCACCTCAACAGCATAGGTCTAAAACCTATGTAAAACCTATGTAATGAATGGCTTCCCATGCCTATAATAGAAGGGCACTGCCCGTCTGGCAGATGCCAATGCCCACACCCTCTGCTCCACAGCTCACCACAGCCCTCATCCGCTGACACTCCCACCAAGTCAGACCAAATTCCTGTTCCCCTAGCAAAGCTTCTTTCCAGTTCCTGCCTCCCGACTTCCGCCCAGGCTGTACACTCCAGGTCCTTTCCCATCTTCCAACTATGAGCTACACGGACAGTAGAACAATGTGCAGGGAAAGGTGGGACCACCTGGGAGGTAGTGCAGAGCAGATGCCGTGACACACTCTGGGCTGGTTTTGGGGGGAGTGGCCTAGAGAACACGATAGAAGATAGTATTCTGAGGGCCTATCCTTCATCTCCAGAGATGGAACCCCGCCCCCCACGCCCCAGAGGCGGGCACTGTTGAACTCTGTGGTCACGAGACCTGGCGGCCTGGAGTCTCAGGGGTGGGGGCAAACAGCTGACCCGAGCACAGCTAGGGGAGTGGAGCCAGTTTTCTGAGCCCTGAGCTCGGCAACTCTCTGAGACTCAAGTTTTTTCTCCAAATAGGATCAGCGCCGGATCGCACAGACACCCCACCCCCCAGTCCCTCCGGTTGCTCATGTGCTGAGGCAGCACCCTCACATACCCAGCCGGAGTACTTCGGAGTCGCCGCGGGGTGCGGGGGAACTCTGTGTCCAGCACGCGCCTTAGCAGCGTGCGCGTCGTAGGCTCATTGTCGGGGCTGTAGCTGTCAGCCATCGCCTCAGCCGTCTGCCTCCCAACTGCTGGGATAAACCACGGCCGCCCTTTTCCCGCCGCCGCATTTAAGCCAACTCTCGCGATGCTGCCGCACAGCCCCACGGGAATTGCAGTTCCGGCCCGATCTTTCGGTGGCGCGGGGGCCTGTACAATGGTAGTTGGGCAAACTCTGAATTTAGAGGCAGTTTTACCTGGGAGTGAGCCTAGGCAAATGTGTACAACCAGTCAAAAATTGGTTTTCTCATCTTTAAGCTGAGGATGATACCCACCTAATAATAGGCTTGTAATGATTCAATGAGATAATGTTTAACTCAGGGTCTGACACATAGTAAGGCCATCAATAAATAGTGGTCACTATTATTAGAATGTCTCTCATTCCTAGCTCCCTCTCCCAAGGTAAGGAAAGACACTGTGGACCAGGAAAATATAATTTTAACCTATATGTGTATTGGTCAGATTTGCATTTACAAAGACCACCCTGTAGGCAATATCATTAACAGACCAGTTTAGGGCCAGCAGATGGCTCAGTTGGTTAAGAATTGGCTTAAGAGCACGAGCTCTGAGCAACAGGGCCACCGGTTAGATTCCCACATGGGCCAGTGACGCTGCACCTGAGCTGACCTGTTGCTGAGCTGCCAACAGGTGGCAGGATGGCTCAGCTGGTATAACAACAAGATTGCCTGTCCAATGGTGGGCTATGCCCACCCGCAACTAAGACTGAACTCGGCACCTTGAGCTGAGCTGCCGCCGGGATGACTTAGTGGATAGAACGTGCGCCTTTAACAAGGCTGCCGGGTAAAACTCCCACATGGGATGGTGGCTATGCCCACCTGTAACTAAGATTGAACACAGCACCTTGAGCTTAGACGCCATGAGCTGCCGACAGAAAGCCAGATGGCGACTGGTGCCCTCTACAACGAATATTGAAGAACAACAACATGGCTGGTCCCCTTCCCCAATTCCCCAACACTGTTTCTCTCCCCCAATAAAAAAATTTTTTTTTAATAAAAAGAGACCAGTTTGCAGGCTCTGAGGCGAGTGGGCTGTTTGTGACGCAGAAGAGATGTAATGATCTCCAAATATGTACAATTTTGAGGGGAATTCGGGCTCTCAAAAGTTCTGTTAATGCTGGAGACTCTATTACCATATTTTTCACTGATTGACAGCCCCGCCCCCTTTCTTAAGTTTTCATGGGAACTGAATTGGAACTTGAGTTCTGAGTCTCCCATGTTCTCTTTTTTTGCTCCTAGATTGGGTGTGAAGTATCAGATACTCGAACAGGCATGTGCTTGTGTTAAAAAATAAAGCAAAGAGTTGGACCGGCCAAGTGGCGCGATGGTTGAGGGCTGGCTTGGGACGCCAGAGGACCCCGGTTCGGATCCTGCATGTGGGAGCCGGTGACGCTGCCCTCCACAGCTAAGATGCTGGGCGGCGGTTCAACCTGGAGCTGGGCTGCCGTGGGTCACCGGCGATGGTGTAGGCTGCAGCCCCTGTGGCAGTGGGTTGCCATGGGCTACCGTGTGTAGCCAGCAGCCAGCGTGAGCGGCCAGCAACCACCGTGAGCGGCCGTCCAGAAGCCGGCGACTGATCTGCCTCGCCCAGGAAGAGCGCAATGATGGTGCCAACTTGGGCCAGTGAAGCAACGTCCTCCACAACTAGACTGAAGAACAAAAGGACAGCAACTTGTCTGTTCCCCTTCCCCCAATTCCCCAGCGCTGTTCCCAACCCCCCAATTCCCCAATAAAAATCTTAAAAAATAAATAAATAAATAAAGCAAAGAAAAAAATTAGATTCTTGTTTCTTAAAATAAGAGAAATGCAGAGGAAAAGAATATCAATATTCCTTGTCATTTAGATCTGACCTCTGTGTTATCTCACTGAATTTGCTAGCCCTTTGCAGGCACATTTTCATGATCAGGTATGGGAAAAATTCCTTCCTTTCTTTTTTCTTTCTTTTGTCCTTTCTTTCTTTCTTTTAAAGCCTTGAATTGGATAATACAGAAAAAAACACAAAAAATCTTTTCAAAAGTTTGAGACATGAGCTTACTTTTGCATGGTATTATTCTATGTATTTACATAATTGATTAAACTGTCTATTTACTACTTGTTTAAAAAACACTGGACTCATGAAGTGAGGAAAGGAGGAATGAGAGAGTGTCAAGGGCCAGACCATTTGGGGTCTTGTAGGCTCTGGAAAGGAGTTTGGATATTATTCTAAATGCAATAGTCCACCGCAGGGATTTAAGCAGAGTATTACATAATCATATTTTCTTTGGCAGCCATGTGAAGAAGAAGAATGTAGGGGAGGCAAAATTGGAAGTAGGGAGACGTGTGAGAGGTTCTTGCCTTTTTCCAAAGTTGGCAAGATAAGAGGGTAGGCAGGGCAGTGGGGTGGGGAGAAAGCAATGCATTTCAGATGTTTTGAGTGTAGAAGATTATATGTAGATTAGAACTGATTTTATGTATGTACTAGAGGTAGAATTTTATCGACCATAATCTTCAATGTTCTGTGCATAAGGATGTGATAGCAATATGACCTCTCACCATTTTTTGAGTAAGTATTGTGACAGGTAGGTATTGAGACAGGTAGGAGTAAAACCATATCAGTAACTGTGTGACAATGAAAATATATAACATATATAATGCTCTTTTGCTGAATTTTCTCGCTATTGCACATACTTTATAAATATTTAATCATAACGAAGTGTGTATTCATATTTTTGTTGTAAAATGATTCATCCAAATGAATGTACATCTTGCACTATGGGCTACACATACCAGAGAATGCATTTCTGAATTTGAAGAGATTCAAGCTGTGGACATCAGCTGCATGGGCCAGGAGGAGTGGGACTTTCTCCTGTTATGGGTCTGTGAAACCCACAGAAATAACCAAGAATCACACTGGTTGTAAACAGAAATGCAACA